GCTGCAGACCTTGAATTGGGATACAGCCAGGTGAGTGCAATTAAGGGACAAGCTCCAGGGCCAATCAGGGGTGAGAAAGTAAAAGAGGAAACAAGGTAAATCTGGTCATGTGAGGGAGAGTGAGACAAAGGGTAAATAAAACAAGAATCTTTATAACGATAATTAAGCAATAAACAATTAAAGGACAGAAAAGTTTATTTTCACTTTCAACTATAGACACTTGATCTTTAAAAACAAAAACTGTACAGTCAGCACTTTTCTGCAATTTTACATTTATTTCTCACAATTTAAGTCCAAACAATCATGCTGACAGTTTTTTTCTCATTTGTTGTGTATAAAAGCAGTTAAATATGTAATTTCTTTACACTGACAGAAAGGGCAGTTTCACTGGACCGGCCCACTAAAGATCACAGTGGCTGTGATGTAAGATGAGTTTGAGAGGGAAAAAAAAAAGAAAAACATTAAAGTGATTTATTCAGGCTGCTTGGAGAAAAGGCCAAATACTTTTGATCCAGTGATCACAGTCCTGCATGATCACGCTGATGTTTGCACAGAGCAGATAATGAAGTGAATGTTTTTGCACATTGGTAACAGTGAAACTGTTTATTTGCAGCGTGGGCTCGTTTATGTTCAGAGTATGAACTGAGATTCTTGAAGCTTTTGTCACACTGGTCACAGCTGAAGTTCCCTTCAACGTGTGTATTTTCATGAATATTACGATGACCTGACCGTGAGAAGCTTTTGTCACAATGTCTGCACTTGTATGGTTTCTCTCCTGTGTGGACTCGTTTATGTATTTTAAGATCACGTGCAATGGTGAAGGATGACCCACACTGGTCACAGACATGCTTTTTAACCCCACTGTGACAGAGTTCATGTTCTTTTAATTTACTTGGTATGGGGAAGCCTTTCCCACATTCTTTGCAGTAGTTCATTTTGTCTCCAGTGTGTCTGCGTTGATGTAGCTTTAGGCTCTTTTGATTACTGAAAGTTTTTCCACAAAGGTCACAACGAAACTCTTTCCCACTACCACAGTGCTCACAGGGTTGAGAACTGGATCCATCTGTGTCGCTCTGCTTCTAAACAAAGACACAAAGACAGTGTAAGTCAGGGGATTCCTTCAACATTTATATCCTGTTTTTAATCACCATTTTAATGATCTACAAGTACAGAAGGTCAGAGACATACATAGAATAGAATAGAATGCCTTTATTGTCACTATACAGTTGTACAGTGAGATACAGAGCATCTCCACTATATACATACAGATGTAAAGAAGGAGATGTTGCAACATTTTGAAAACTTTGTGGAAAAAAATTGCTTCTGCTTTTGAATTCTTCTCTTTCTATACCTCCATGTGGCAATGTTGGCTGAGTGGTGATACCTATTGTTCAGGAGATTACTGTAGCAGCTTCCTGCACCTTAAAGGTGGGCAGGAATAGTGTGGAGTGTATACGGGCAGCCTCCACCATCTGTTTTCTTTAGCATAGCAGTTAGCGGACTGTAGTTAGATTGCAAAGA